AGTGGTCACCATCGTTTGCCCTTTCGCCCGGTGTCCTGCAAGTGCCCCCCCTTGTCATGTACCCCCATGACGAGCACACGGGCGCTGCAAGCATGCCGCCGCCGCGCGCCACCTTCAGCAGAGCCAGCAACGCCAAGAAAAATCCCATGGGCGATAGTATATCGAAATGTTGCCCGATTTCTAACTCGTGAGGCAACGCCCGAAAGCCGGCCTCAATCATGGAACAAGTCACGGCCATCTTGCCCGCGAAGAGTTCCAAGTGATCTAAATCCCTCGTCAAGTCCAATGAAGGGTCCGTCATCACTTCCTGTACCATTTGAACAAACTCATGCGGCAGCAAAAAGCACACAAGGTAATTTAATAAGCTCTGCACATCGGCGGGCACCGGGGGCCTGAGTGGGCGCGGGACGTCAGCGGACTCCGCGGGGTTGCGGCGGCGTCGCTTCGCCATCTTGCGCCCGTCGCGGCCCATCGCGACAGGCGGGGGCAGCGCCTCGGGCCCCGCGCAACTGGGGGGGGCGGCGGGGGGCGGAGGAACGAGGAGGGGTGGAAGCAGAGGGCGGGAAGGAAAGAAGGAAAATGAGAGAGGGTCTGCCCCCGCCATCAGCGCCGTCGTCTTAATAATCGTCGTCGTCGTCGTCGCCGTCGTCGTCGTCGTCGTCGTCGCCGTCGTCGTCGTCGTCGTCGTCGTCGTCGTCGTCGTCGTCGTCGTGGCCGCGGAAGCCGCCTCCCGGAAACCCAGAAGGGCCCCAACATGATCGCGTGCAACGGAAGGCCCGACCATATGCAAGTGCGAGTGCCGCCGTTATGAGAAACGCATTGCGGGCGCTGCCACGGGGGGCGGGGGGTGCCTGGGAGCGTATTCTCTGGCAGACGGCCTGGGGGAGCTGGCCAGAAAGTTTTTTTTTGAAAGGGGCCCCCCCAAACGATTCCCACGGTTGCCCAAAAGATGCCCCGAGAAGATCTGAGAGGGGTCCCGGGTTCAGAACATGTGTGTTTTTCTGTTTATACAAATGTATTATTTGTCAGAAAAAAAACATTTATATGCGGGCCGAAAAATTCCCGTCTCCGGAAGCGCGGCCTGTGTGAAGGGTGTGCCAGAATTGGCCAACTTAACCAACCATCCAGCTCGACGCCGGCTCACCCGGCAACCCGGGAGCCCACCGGCCAGCCAACCAACCAGCCAACCAGTCTTTCCTTGGTGTAATTTCTGAGGATGTCCCACACCGCTGGGCCCAGATGAAACTTTTTGACAAAAAATGATCGCGGGGCGGGGGGAAAGAGGAATGTGATGGAATGGACAAGAGAATAAATGGAATGGCGTCAGTGTTAAAGCTTTTGGCGTTAGCGCGTTACGGCTAGGGGGATAGGGGTTTGGGGGGTAGGGTTTAGGTTTAGGTAGTGTTAGGGTTATGGCTAGCCTTCGGGTTAGGGTGTTCGGGTTAGGGTTGGAGGGTGGTTAGGGTCAGGGGGTTAGGGTGTATGGTGAATTGGGTAGGGTTCGATTAGGGGTCAGGCTTAGGGTGTTAGGGTTTGGGGGTTAGGGGTTTGGGTTGGGGTTGTGGGGGTTCGGGTTAGGGGGTGGGTGTTAGGGCTTAGCGTTAGGGTTCAGAGGGTTAGGGTTTGGGTTTTGTGGGTGAGGGTTAGAGGGGGTTAGGGTTAGGGTTCAAGGGTAGGGGGTAAGCTCAAGGTTTAGGGTTAAGGTCAGGTTTAGGGTAGGGCCTGAGGGTTATAGTGTTAGGGTTGGGATTGGGGTTGAGGGGGTTAGGGGTTAGGGTTAGAGTTTAAGTTTAGGTCTAAGGTTCAGGATTAGGGAAGAGGGTTAGGGTTAACAGTTAGGGCCTCGTCTTACGGTTAGGGATATGAAGTCAAGGTTCATGTTCGGGTTAGGGTTGAGGGCAAGGGGGTTAGATCTACTGTTTAGGGTTAAGGTCAGGTTTAGGGTGCGGGCCTTGGGGTTCGGCTGTTTCGGTTAGGGTTCGGGGTGTTGGGTTGGGTTTAGGGCGTTCAGGTTAGGGGGTTAGGGGGGGCAGGGTTAAGGTTTGTGTGTGTGTTTGTTAAGGTTGAGGATTAATGTTCAGGGTTAGGGGTTAGGGTTAGAGTTGTGGGGGTTAGGGTCAGGGTTAGCGGGGTTTGGCTTAGGGTTCAAGGTTACGGGGTAGGCCTAGGGCTTAGGGCTCGGGCTTAATATTAAGGTTCGGGTCTCAAGGTTTGGGTGCTAGGGCTGGGGTTGCGTCAAGGGGGTTCAGGTTAGGGGGTCAGGGTTTAGGGTGCAAGGTTGGGGTTGAGGGCTACGGTAGAGGGTTAGGGTCGAGGGTTAGGGTTTCCAGCGGGGGCCATAAGGTTAATGTGTTAGGGTTGGGCCTGGATCATGGGGTTCGGGTTAAGGTTCGGGGGTTCGGGCTCAGGGTTAGGGGGTTGAAGTTAGGGTTAGGCTTCTGGGTGTTAGGGTTGGGGTTAGGGAGTTCAGGTTAGGGCTTAAGGTTCGGGGGCTAGGGTTCGGGCTTAGGGATAGGGTCCACCAGGCAAGCCTTGATCCCCCCCTGCCTACGAGCCCACCTGCGGTGGCTGTCAGTCCCACCCGCAAACCACCCTACCATAAAGATCATCACTCCCCTCGTTGTGAGTACAGCGAAGCGCGTCGGAACGCTTGCGAGCGCTTGAGAGTTTAGGGTAACGGCCTTAAGGTTAGGCTGCTAGGGTTAGGCTTAGGGGGTAAGGGTTAGGGTTTGGGGTGTCGGGTTAGGGTATGGGTTTCGGGTGTAGGGTTCGTGTCTAGGGTTCGGGTTTAGGCTTCTGCTCCCAGGGTTCAGGTGTTGGGAATCGGGTTAGGGTTATGGTTATGGGGGTTCGCGGTAAGGCTAGGGGCTTAGGGTTAGGGCTTAGGGTTATGATGTAGGGTTCGGGTTTACGTTCAGGTGTTTGGATTCGGGTGTGAGGGTCAGGGTGTTAGGGTTAGGGTTCGGGTGTGAAGGTTCGGGGGTATAGGGTTAATGTTTCATGTTAGAGGGTTAGTTACGGTTCGGGTGATGGGGGCTCGGGTTAGGCTAGCGAGGTTAGGTGTAAGCTTAGGGTTCATGGTTAGGGGCGAGCTTACCCCCTAACCATGAACCCTATAGGGTTCATGGTTAGGGGGTAAGCTTAGGATTAGGGTTCGGGCTTCAGTTTAGGATTAGGGTCTCAGGGTTGGCCAGTTCGGGTTGGGCTTGGCTTAAGGGGTTTAGGGTTTGGGGTTCTGGGGATCTGGCTTTAGGGTGTAGGGCTTCTCTGCGCGCAGCGGCCGACAATCTTGGGCAATGCTGCCCCCCCTTCGGCAAGCTTAATTGGGGGGGCGTCTCGCCGACCCGATCAAGCTTGCCGACGATGCATGAGTTGCAACAACTTCCCACCCCCGGCCGAAGAGCCGGCGACCTCCCAAACTAAAGCCTGTTAAGGTTTAGGGGCAAGCCCCCATACATTCCCAAGTCCGACATGCGCCGCGAGGCAGAGGGGGTGCAGGACTTGCCCGGCACGTCCCGGCGGCCGGCCGGTCATCGAGTTAGTTGTCGTTGAGTTTACGCTGGCGACGCCAAGACCGCACCTGCGCGCTCCTCTAGCGAGCCCAGCTGCGCTGGCGCGCGCATATCGAGATTGGAGTAGATGTACGCTGATGCTTCAATCTCGACGGGGTCACATGGTGGGACACGGCAAAGGGGACCAACGTGGCGGTCGCCGGTGAGTCGCGCGCGCGATCAGAGACGCCCTGGGGACGCCTAGGACGACCCTGCAGGGTCGTCCTAGGCGTCCCCAGCGCGTCTCTGATCGTCCCAGAACTCGGCCAGAGCCTCGTAGGCGCGTCCCCAAGTCTCCCAGGCGCGCCCTGAGGCACCTAGAGCGTCCCACACGTGTTTGTACGTGTCGGAGGGGCAGGGGCGGGGGTCCGAATCGAAAGGTCTCCGGGTTTAGGGTGTTGTATTCGTCGAGGATCAGGGAGAGTTTATCGGCGAATCGCGACCCCCCAAAGTGGGGGAGGGCAGCGCAAGGTTGCCATGGCGACCCAGTCTGGCCACCTGCTGAAGCATCTCAGAGAAGCCCTGTCTCTCGTAGACGGCGACGGTGATGCGCGGTGGGTGGGCAGGAGCACAACGATGTGCTTGGGAATTAGGGTTGAGGGCTAAGGTTTATGGGTTAAGGTCGAGGGTTAAGGTTTACGGCGAGGGCCATAAGGTCAAGGTGTCAGGTTTAGGGTTCGGGCTATGGGGTTAGGGTCATGGGTCGGGGGGTTGGGTTCTGGGTTAGGGGGGTTAAGGTTCGGGTTTGCCTTTTGGGGGTTAGGGCTAGGGTTAGGGGGTTCGGGTTAGGGCTTAGGGTTGGGGGGTTAGGGTTCGGGTTAGGATAAGGGGTTAAGTTCAGGGCAATGGACTTAAGGTTAAGGCGCTCGGGTTAAAGTTAAAGGGGGGGGGGGGGGGTAAGGGGTGTAGGGTTAGGGTTTAGGGTTCGTATTTAGAGTTGGGGCTTAGGGTTATGGCCTTAATGTTCAAGTGTTAGCGATCGGTGGGGGTTAGCGTTAGGGTCGAAGTGTTAGGGTTAGGGCTTAGGGTTATGATTTAGGGTTATGGTTCAGGTTAGGTGATTTGGGTTAGGGTGTTCGGGTTAGGGACAAAGGGCAATCAAGGTCTAGCACCCGACGGGGCGGAAACTAGCCGAACTGGCGAGGCGTGAGGCCATGCCTCAGAGACAAGCCTCAGCAGCAGCATCCTGTAGGGCGCGGCGGGGCCCTACAGGACGAGGCCGCGGATCCTGTAGGGCGCGGAGGGGCCCTGCATGATCAGATGGCTCAGGGGCCGCCGAGCTGGGCGCAGGGCAGGGCAGGCCAGGCAGCCCACCGCCCCTTAAAGCGCGCACGGGCGCGCGGAGCCACACCAACAACCAGTCCAGGGCAGCGCCAACGCCAGGCGTCGCAGCTACACCAGACCAAACCAGCTGGCCAGCGAACAAACCAACCAACCAACCATGCAATGACCAACCAACCAACCAACCAACCAACCAACAAACCAACCATTCAACCATGCCGTAACAGATTTTTTCGACCCCGCACCAGCCAGCCAACCAACCAACCAGCAAGGCAACCATCCAGCCAACCAACCAGCCAACCAGGCCACACTTTGGAGCATTTTTGGAGGATGTCCCACGCTGTGGGCCCAGACATAGATTTTTAATATCAGAAGAATTTTTCAAACCCCTAAATAGAAAAACCCT